AGAAATTGAAAGAAAGGGAAGTTTAATTTAGAGGGGATGTCTGTCCTGCTTAGCTGGGGTCACATGCCCAACATAAAATAATAATGCATTCAACTGTCCATCTTATAATAAGCAACCTTTGCATCGCCTGGCTCACTGGTGAAAACCACAAACAGTGGGCAGGAAAGATATGAATACCAAAAAAAGCTGAGGGCTCCCTGGAACTTTCATGTGATTATGTTTGTGCTAATGCAGAGAGCACAGAAACCCAAAGGCTCCCTCTGCAGAACCTGATTCATTAAAAATACATTGGTCATTAACAAGAGACTATGGTGCATTGACTGGAAGGCATGGCGACCACATAGGACAGTGATGGCAAACCTATGACACGCGTGTCAGAGGTGACACGCAAACTCAGTTTTTTGGTTGATTTTTCTTTGTTAAATGGCATTTAAATATATAAAATAAATATCAAAAATATGTCTTTGTTTTACTATGGTTGCAAATATCAACAAATTTCTATATGTGACACGGCACCAGAGTTAAGTAAGGGTTTTTCAAAATGCTAGCACGCCGAGCTCAAAAGGTTCACCATCACTGACATAGGAGAAGGTAGAACTGGTTTATTCATGGTGAGCAATTTATATTGGCAATTCTGCTTCCTCTCAATGCCATGGCCATTGTAGCCCCTTTGCCAAGGTAACAGGATAAGGCTCCAGAAAGAGGTATAGTTTCTCCGCATTAGAAGTGTTTTGTTGTTTCTTAAAATGGCTTATTTGGAAGTCAATTCCAAAATGGGAGATAGGATTTAGAACTCTAAACTGGGATGCACATCTATTTTAATTTTAGAGTAGCTGAGGGATGCCGAGCCTAGTTTGCCTTGATTAAAACCTGTTATACCCAATAAATAAATAAGTACGTAACTTGCCATGAGGAACAAGGGACAGTCACTCAGGAACTCTGACCTTGAGTTGGGTGGGGAGGGGGAACTTGTGAGGCTCTCTCCTCAGGAAGGCACTGAAGGGAGGAGTCCAGTGCCTGGGATCCCACCCCTCGTGGTTCTGCGGTAAGTCCAGTCCCTCCAAAGCAGAGTGAGCTGCAGGCAGCCTGTAGGGTTCAGATGTGAGATCAACACTGGAGGGATGGTGTTGAATAAACCAATACTCTGACAAGCAGGTATTTTAACAATTAAAAATAAGTTTTATCCTAGTTTACCAATCAGATGGTACAGAGTATGCATTTGGGGTAGTGTGTGAGGGAATGTGGATTTGCACATAAGGGGATGGGAGTATGTGTTAAGTTAATGTAGGGCAGGTGAATATTATGGGAAAATTAAATAATATCAAATAGGATATTAAATCTTATTAATTAATAATGGTCAAGAGAAATAGCACATATGTGACAAGTATGCACGGCACCACATTTTACATATTTTCTCACTCAGTCCTCACAACAGCAGTCCTATGAGGGAGAGACTGTTATTTCCCTGGCTTCTACAAGAGGAGACGGGTCCATAGAGAAGAGGGGAAACAAACCCAAATGCACATACTAGTAACCAGTGAAGTAGCAGAGCGAAATTTAGACCCAGGCAGAGCTTAAAGTCTAAGAATCCTTGCTTTTTGCCCTGGTAGGTGTTACTCCAGGTTAGAGCACCGACCCGTGCACCAAAGGATCTTGTGTTCAATTCCCTGTTAAGAGCACCTGCTTGGGTTGCAGGTTCGATCCCCAGCCCCTGTCGGTGCACATGCAGGAGGCAGCCAATCAATGTGTCTCTCTCACACTGATGTTTCTCTCCCCCCCCCTTCCCTTCTTTTCTCTCTCTCTCTAGTCTCTCTCTCTCTCTCAAAAAAAAAAGAGTTCTTGCTTTTAAATTGTACAACAAACTGCTTTTAATATCTAAATTAGAACTGAGGTACAATTTGCCAACAAGCTAATGATTTTAAAGATATTTCCAAGATTTATGCTAAATTGTAGTAAAGTCAAGTGGATGCCAAGAACTCTCTTGAAGGAATAATCCCACTCCCAAATTAAAAGCCAAGCCTCTATTTCGACTGAGAGAATACTCAGAGTGAAATGCCTTCAGTGCACCCGGGTGTAAGTGGTGAACTGGCGAACACAGTCCTGCCCTATTGGAGTTCACAGTTGCTGCCTGAAAAACACAGACTATTAAGTTCTGAGCAGGCCACCGAGAGCTTTCTGGACATTCTTGGTCTCTAGAGAGGTAACACGTTTCCTAGGAACTTGATCAGGAGGAACTTGCTCAACCATTTAAGTCCATGTTTTTATGTCTGTGCCCATGGGAATAGCTAACCTCAAGTTCTCCGCTGGCGTAGGCTAAGCACTGCTTCAAATCTCTGAAACCCTTTGCAATGTCACTTATTCATCCTGACTGCTGGATCCCCCCGCTGGCTCCCAGAAGACCCCTGAACTGGGAGTTGCCTGACGGCCAGACAGATTGGTTTATGGTCTTACAAAGTTAAGCGTGATACACATGAGTTTGGGGAAAATGGAGATGTGCATTAAGAAGAAACATTACCTTTTGATCCGGGCAGGAAAGCATACATAATCTCTTGTAGAGCCTGTGAAAGACTTCATTTTACACATAAAAGTGTGTGGAATTGCCCTGTACTGCACTGAACATGGTTTTTGAAAATAACCAGCTTCGAAACAAGCTGCTGTACGCTAGTGAGGGCCTCCAGCCACAGAGAATAAAACGTAAGCAGATGTAATCTGTGTCAAGTTACGGGAGCAAACACACACTCTGGTTGACACAGTACCTGTATGGGACAAAGCCTAAACCCTACAAGGGCATGTCATTAGGAACAGAGTCAAAAATGGGCATGGTACTCGGGAAAGAAATATGAAACTGAAGGGCCTGACATAGCATAGAAATTTTTTTAAATTATATATATTTTTAATTGTGTAAAGGGTTTTTCTCTTCTGTGCAAAATAAAACTCTCTTTTCACAGTCTTGAGTAAAAACCCCTACCTGGTGAGTATGGGAAAGCAACCAAAATTTTAAAACATCTTATAAAACTAAACCAAAGTGGGGTTTTAGCTATTTGAGAATTTGCCTAATCTGGATATTAGACCAAAAGCATCACTTTGGACCTGGTTAGTTCTATAAAAGGTACATAAAGCTTTGCTGAGAATTTTAAGACAAAATAAGACTTTGGGTATAGTATAAGAAGAGAAAATGTGCGATTTACAATGCATAACACAGCTTCCAATTTAAAGCGCCCTGCTATTCAAGCACAATAAGTAAATCACATATAAAAAATTTAAAGGAAAGATCTCCCTGCACATTATGGGGAAATTGTTGGCATCTTATGATGGGTCATCCAACCCTTGTTATTAAATGACAGCAATCATTAAAATGCCAAACGTATTTTGACAGAATTCACTTTATAAAATGTCAGCAAGTCTGTGTTTTTATTAGTTTGCTCCAAATCAATTTAGAAATTTCAATAGAATGCTTGTAAGTATTCCCCAAGCAATGTCCATTCCTGACTTTCTGCACACACACAAATATTACAAATTAATCAGATTTTCAGATTTCTGCATAATGGCTTTGCACATTTATTGCTTAATCCTGTTATAAAATGCCATTATGATTGACACATCGCAGTGGAGATAGAAGTCAATTGAATAATATGTAGCAGTCAATTTTATTTGTAGCTTAATGTGCTGAAGTATTTTTCCCCCACATTTCCATTATTTATAAGTCTGTCCCTTTGGAGACTATATAGAAGAATTTGTTCTAAATGAGCCAATAATGCCTTCTTTAAAATTTATAAGTGTGACAGAGTCATATCTTTTTTTTTTCTTGGTCACCCATGACAGGCCAGTAAACAGAGTTGTCTTCCACTTGCTATTCAGAGGACACATTTCCGGACAGAGAGCCTTGTGAAGGGTGGCATGGGATTGGGTTTCAACCATCAACAAAATAAAAGCTGCCAACTAAAATCCTTCAAAGTTTTCTGCTAGCTCTATTTGTGTATTTACTCCTGTATTTATTGTACTGCCACTATCTTACCTGCTATATGGCTTATCCTGAAGAAAAGCCCATAAGCCCACACAGAGACGCTGTAATGTTTAAGAAGGCTCAGAAGTGCTCTGTCTTGGTGGCATTTCCTTTTGCTTGCTTTGGTGTCCAGCAGGATTTCGGCAAAGGAAGTAAGTTGTGTTCTATGCTTGGAGGGCGTGTGGGGTTCTTACTGCTTCAGTTAGTACCCAGGAAGCTTGCTTAAGGAGACCCATATTCGTTTCTAGGACATCATGTAAGGTGACGTTAAAAAGGCTTTGTGTCTAGGAAAACACATTTGTAAGATTCGTTGTCTGAAGGTGTATGCAGAAGGGCGGAAGTGTATGAGTCATATGAAGGGATGGTGTAATTGTACTTGGTCGTGTCTGAGACCACACTTTCTCTGGCTTTGGAGAATCAGATTAGCTGTCGCCCACCTATGCATAAGGCATGGAGGCATGGAACAGACTGACATACCTCCGTGTGGGGCTTGAGGGGATGGGAAGAGATAAACCAAAGAACTTATATACTTATATGCATAGCCCATGGACACAGGCAGTGGGGGGGTGAAGACCTGGGGTGGGTCAGTAGGAGCTGGGAGAAGGGGGGTAAAGGAGAGTAAAGTGGGAGACATTTGTAATGCTATCAACAATAAAAAATATATTTAAATTTTAAAAAAGGATGCAGTTTCCCACACAATCAATGCCTTGGGGTACCCTGTGCAAACGGATGTGTAACACCAGCCCATTCGCACCACTGATGATGGTGGCAGTCTCCCTGCAGCCGTAGCCTGCTACCTCCTGGATGACTTGGGCCATCCTGAATGGTCCTTAGCAAAATGTATGCAGTTGACGGGTGATTGAGTGCTGGAGCTTCTATAAACCACTCTGGCAAGTCATCTGTGCCTTAATGTTATGGGAGGTCTCAGGAAGATGGGTCCTGTGCAGTTCTCAGGCTGGCTTGTGTATTAAAGGAGCACTTCTCTTTTGGATTCCAGGGGCCAGAGGAAACCCAGCACTATCAGACCCAGGCACTCCTGACCACCCCCAGGCCAGTCAGACTCACCCCCCATTCCCGGTTGGGCCACAGGTCAGTATCTCTCAACTGCCTTCCATGAGGCTGTATATAGAATGACTTAACTATATAAAGAACCAAATAAATAATAATGAGTGCAATCCAATTAGCTCCAACAGAGAAAAGATGGTGATAAATATTTGTATGGGAAGCTGTATGACTACATTATTTATTAAATGCCATCAAGTGGGTTGGCAGAACTTTCCTCTCTTTTTTTACAGGAAATGTTTGTGTTAGTCATTTGGAATCCTGTTTTCTTCTTCTTCTTCAAGACCCACTACAACTGTGCTGTTAGTTACTGTGCAGTTTTCTAGAAAGTAAAACTTTAATGACTGGAGTGAGAAGAAAATTAAGTTATTTCAACCTTACTACAGCCATTTTTGCAATATAAGACGTAACTTAATATAAAAAAGTTAATGCAATTTTAATGCAAGTTCAGCTTATTGGGTTTGACAATACTGTACATCACATACAGCCCCTGCATTAATAAAGAAATACATTCATTATTTTTTAAAGTCTAATATTTGTGGGGGTTTTGCAGCCTGTGGTTACATGGAGATGTAGAACACAATTATAAAATGCTGGGACTTTTTTTTTTCTTTTTACCTCTGTTATTTAGCGTGAAGCTTTCAGAGTTCACCCCAGTTTATGGAAAAAGAAGCTAATCTTTGAGCCTTTCTCTCTCTCTTTTTCTGCTACTTTTTGTTCCTAGAAATTGATCACTTTCAGTACCTTGAGGGCTCACCAGTTCAAGGCTTGAAAACCCAAGTTTAGAACTTAGGTTGTCTTGACTTTCTTGTTCCAGTGCCACCAAGTTCCCCTATCGCCTCAAATTCCACTGTCCATGCTGGAGCACAAGGGCAGGAGGACTGAAAGCCAGGGAGAAGTCTACTCTCTTATGAAAGCCGGAGAAAGTTCGGTGGGAATCGTAGAAACCAACTTTTTCTGGCCATGCCCCTTCTGATTTCATGCTTAGCTTAGGACATTGTGTGTGTGTGTGTGTGTGTGTGTGTGTGTGTGTGTGTGTGTGTACCAACCAAGGGCAACAAACTCTAAGGCTGTGGTTCTCAACCTGTGGGTCGCGACCCCTTTGGCGGTCGAACGACCCTTTCACAGGGGTCACTTAAGACCATCCTGCATATCAGATATTTACGTGACGATTCATAACACTAGCAACAGAACAGTTATGAAGTAGCAACGAAAATAATGTTATGGTTGGGTCACAACATGAGGAACTGTATTTAAAGGGCCAGAAGGTTGAGAATCACTGCTCTAAGGCTTCCAGGTTTCATGTAAGAAGCATGGCAGACCCAGACAGAGAGAAGTGGTGGACACTGTGACAAGCTAAAGAGTGTATGCCCTGCTTTAAGCCAGCAAATTCAATTTAAAAAACAGTACAGGCCCAAACACCCAAATCTGTATCCTGTATACAGTCGGAGAGCCACGAGTCTGCCTCCCGTCTTATCTTGAATTACGATAATCAATGATATAACATTAGCAATTTGAGAACCAGCTTGTAACTTAGTATTTATTTCTAAAAAAAAAAAAAATGTTTATTTTTGTGTTTTACCTTTTCTCTTTTTTTTTTAAGACACAGTTAATCTCTGTGAATGTAATAAGTCTAGCGAATATATTAGGAGCTTGGCCCACAGAGTCCCAGGGCTTCCTCAGAGGGCTCCTCAGACGCAGCCGTGAGCGAAGACTATAGGAAATGGCAGAGAGTGGGCTAGTCCCACTTTTCTAGATCTCCTCCATGAACTGAGAAGAAGTGATGAGAAAGGGGTGCAATGTGGGCTCTGGAGCAGCCTTCTAGCTTTGAGCTCCCCACCCCCACTAGATGTGGGATTTGGGGCAAGTTACTAACCTCTGTGTATCTCAGTGGTAGGGCAACAGAGTTCATACACATACATCAGCCTAGAATAGTGCCTGGCTATTAGATATTGGGCTTTGTACTATGCCCATATTGAATTACCCTTTACTTTATAGAATAAAGCTGCATTAAAAAAAAGTTGAAACCCCTCAATAGGAGTTTTGCATTGCTTTTATGTAATGATGTTTACTTTGAATTTATATTAGTTCACACAAACACTCCATCCATGCTTTTGTTCCGGCCCTCCAGTCCAGTTTAAGAACCCATTGTGGCCCTCGAGTCAAAAAGTTTGCCCACCCCTGGTCTAGAGGGGAAAAAAAAAGGGCATGAGATTGTGTCTCCCCAAGTTTCCAAAGGGGTTCAATGAAAGCCCTGGACCACAGACTGTAAGATCAATGACCCCTCGAGTCACCTGGCCCAGCCAGGGCAGGAATCCTGCCTACATCATTCTGGGGGAGAGCCCTCACCCAGCTCAAGTGTGTCTAGTGCCCAAAGTACATCCCTATGAGGCTGCCTCTCCATGTCGCACATGGCTATTGGCTAAATAGTGGACATAAACATGTATTTTTAATGTTGTTTTAAGTGGGCAATGCATGCTAGAGTGATAACAAAGGAAATATTTAAAACATTTTAAAATTTATCCACATTAAACATTTTTGTTTTTCTATATTTCTTTTTAGATCTTGTCAAATTTTTCATTTTAACAATGGTTTCATTATCAGTTGCTTAATAATTTTCCATTTTATTTCATGTATTCTTATAAACTTTCTCTATTTTTAATAAGGTGTCATAATGATTCATTTAAAATCTAGGTGCTATCTTATCAAGCTTAGCACTGTAACAAACTATTTTCAGCGTTTATGTATTTTAAAATGTAATGCATACTTTCATGCATTTCTTTTTTCTGTTTGAATTATATCTTCAGCCTATATCCTAGGAGTATATTCTGAGTCAAAAGGGGGTGAATATTTTTGTAGCTCTTGATATGTATCTCCAAACTGCTTTGCAAAAGGCTTATGACAGGGTACATGTCCTAAATCTACATAATGGTGTTACTGCAGACTTACCAGCACAGAGTAAGTCTTTTACATTAACTTTCGCTAATTTAATAGATGAGAAGAGTATTTTGTTGCTATTTTTGAACAACAACAAAAATCCATGGACCTCAATGAATTCTTTCTGGAACAACATAGAATAAATTAACAGAGCTTCAAATATATAAGGGTAGGATCAAATGAAACTTCATTGGAAGAATAATATATAAGTGTAAGGTATTGCTTTTAAAGGTGTTTGAACTCTTTAGAAGATGATAGAACCAAATGGAATTTTCCAAAAATACCAATAAATGTGATTTTCTTTTTTTTCCTGTCAATCTTTTTTTTTTCTGGACCAGATAACGTTTCTTCACTACTTGTTCAGGAACTTTTTGACCTCACATAAGTAGGAGAAAAAAATTGGTCTAAAGCCCGTGCCTTGGTTCCACTGGAAAGTGAGCTAGGATTGTGTTTCCTTGCAGCCACTTCTGACGGCACAGCAGTTAGCGTCTGCTGTCGCTGGTGTGATGCCAGGAGGCACGCCCGCCCTGAACCAGCCTATCCTCATCCCCTTCAACATGGCCGGACAGCTAGGAGGGCAACAGGGACTCGTCCTCACACTGCCTACTGCGAATCTCACCAACATCCAAGGGCTGGTAGCAGCAGCTGCAGCTGGAGGCATTATGACCCTGCCATTGCAAAATCTACAAGGTAACCCATTGTGTCTGTGTGCCACATAGGGCTCCATCCACGGGCCAGTGTTCTTTGCAGTGGGCAAGAACTCTGAATCTTGAATGTGGTTCGGAGCTGCTTCTACCATACAGGGTATAGGAGGCTTTTGTAGGGAGCAAAGTATGAAGTTGTCTTGTGATTCCTTAGCTTGCTCAAGCCCTGGGCTTTATCAGTTCTCATTTCCTACGATTAATTTCAGGTCCTTCGGAAGCATTTATGAGCTATCATTGCATGACATAAAAAATTTACATGTAAAATTATTATGTTGTTATTTGAAGACTTGAATTATGATCTCATGCGTTCTTCAATTTGGTCATCTTCAAAGAAAGGTTAGACATGACTGCTTTGTGTAGGAGGTGGTTGGAACATCTCAACAAGGTATCGTTTGGAATAATTAGTTTAATTATTATTTTGCTTACTAAGTATATTTTAGTTATAATTATTGAACAAAATTATATTATTTGAGATCATAGTTTATAATAAGAAAAGTAGACTGGAATATTGAGTCTTTCTGTTGCATGAGCATATAGCAAAAGTTGGATTCTAACTTTACTCAGAAAGGGTATTTTTCTTGTTAGTATGAAGATTTTGACTTTTCTTTAAAAGACTTGGTAGCACTAACTGATAAGCTGACTTAAAAATGAGTTCTAAAGAGGAAAAACTTGATTAGGGTGCTTAACAAAGAGAAAACATTTATTTTGGACTAGTCAAATATATTTGTTTTCTCTATTGGTATAAATGTTAACGACTAAATTTTTTTCTGCAGAGTGAGAGTTTGGTTGGGTAAGTTTTCAGAACAACGATATAAAGTACTGTATTTTTTTGGTTGATCAAACGTTAGGGCTCCTTAGAACCTATTAAATTGGTCAGAGCATCAGTCCACAGATTAAGAAATAGACCAAGTAAAAACTGGTTAACTCTTGACCCAAATTTCTTTACACACTATTATGTTCTCATATCCCAACCACTGCTGCCACTTCTTGACTTTTACTTTAACGTTTAAAACAAAGTCTTTCTTATACCATTCAATTGTGCCAAGAAAGCTGCTGTTCATAAATCATGCATGCGCAGGACACATTAATGCACAAACTTTGCTTGTTTCAAATTTGAGAGTGCCTGAGAAGCTAGGATCTCAAGATTAAGCAAATAAGGCAGGAATAAACAAGGTGAAAGCAAAAGCAGCAAAGTGTAGGGAGAAGCTTTTTAATGTAGGTGGATGATGAAATCTTAATGAAGAAATAGCCATTATCTAAATGCAACCTTCCATTTGGAACATTGGTGCTTATGGGAATATTGGATATTATAAATAAACATAAGCTTGTGGAGCTTGTAGGACATGGATTAATCCTGCTTAGTTAAAATGGACACCAAAGTCAGAGTCCAAAAAAAACCAGGCTTGTTATATCTGTACTACAGGTTGTTATTCTTAAGGCTTTATTACTTTGTTATGATAAGAGTTCAGAATTAGCAACTGGTCCAGTATGAACTTCCATCAAGATGTTCCTTTCCTCTCTCTCTCTCAATATCAAATTTAGTATTAGCTTATAGTTTGGAATTTGGTTCTTTTTGGCATCTTTGGTTTCAGAAAATGATCCCAAGGTCCTAACGAAGTGCAGTAAGAGCACTAGCTCTTTGTATCCCTTGGTGCTGCTCACATAAGTTCCCTGTGGCCTAATCTTGGGAAGCACTTTGGAGTTGATGGTCAAGCTGGTCTGGGAGCTTTTTCAAAATTCATTTGACAAATGAATCCAACTATCTCTGGATTTTAAGCATCTCAGGGTGATGGTGAGCCATGTGACTGTGAAAAGTGCCCTCATTAATTTTCTTGTTGTTCCTAACCACCCCAGGCCTCTAAATGGGGGTAATGATTGAAAGGAATTATTTATTTGGGAATATTCTTCCTTCTGTTAGTACATTCATATCCCCAAAACTGAGGGGTGTTCTCTTGCATAATTGAAGCACTACCGAAACTATTGCTCCAAGATTTTATCCAGCAATAGCTTTTCATTACTGATAAAGAAAAGCCACCTGCATGGCCTGTGACTGTCTTCCCTTCTCCTCTGATCCTCCCTTCAAGAACGAGATGCACTCCTGTCTCATCAATGATGGGATCTTTGGGAACAGATGGGAGTAGGGAGTTGGAAATCTTGCAGAATTTTAGGGATGGCCCTGTATCCCTGCCTCAGTGATCCTGGAATGAGATTTGGGGATTAGAGCTTCAACTTGCAAATGTATTGGATTTTTTTATTAGAAAAGAAAATATAGATAAATACAGACTCAATACAAATGACCACAAGTAGCAAAGGGGTTTAGTGGGACAGCAAAGGTGGGTCTACACTTAGGATAGATGATTTAGAGTAGTGACTTGTTCTCATCACACAGGCCATGTGGGATAACCCACTAATCACTAAGGGCAACATAAATGGAGAATATAAATGTACTACCTAGGAAACTTATATCAAACTATGAACTTTCCAGTTAACTCCAGCATAACATTTAAATTAATTACTAAAAAGTACATTAGAGAGTGCTGCTTACCTTAGAATTTGGAAAAGCAATTAGATTCAAAGCAAGTTGAAACTCAAGGCCAAGGATGGTTTCTCCTACCCTTAGCACTGGCATGAACTTGCCCTGGATTTCTGTGAGTCTCCAAATTAAAGGCTGTGCCAAGTAGAGTATGTGGGACTAATTTTGGGATTAGGGATTTCATGTGCAAGTTACATAAGATTTCCTCTTTGTTTGCTTTGTTGTTTTAATTGAGGTATTATTTACATACAATAAACTTCATGAATCTTAAGTGCTCAGCTCTATGAGTTTTAATAATTATATACACCCTTGCAACCTCCATCCACCGCAGTCAATACATAACACATTTCACTTTCTCCAAAAAGTTCCCTTTTGTCTCTTTGCAGTCAACACCTCCCTCTAATAAGGCAGCTCTGATCTGCTTCCTGTTACTATGCATTAGTTTTGTCTGTTCTAGAACTTCATATAAATGGATCCGTGCAGTATGTATTCTTTCATGTCTGGCTTTTCTTGCTGGGCATAATGTCTTTGAGATTCACTCATGTTGTGTAGATCTGCAGTTTCTTTCCTTTCCAAGTAGTGTTCTATCATAAGAATATGCCACAGTTAGTTTATCCATAGCCATTCCTATGTCCCAGTAGGCAGACATCCCGAAGGCCCTCTCCCCTGGGGACAGGGAGAGGATCCTCAACCAAGCATCTCTGGGGAAGACCCTGGGCTGCACTGCGGGGAGAGCCTTCCCTGCTCATTATCTTCCTTGGCCACATCTGAAGAAAAAGTTGAGGAATATACCTTTCTTTGGAGGCTTATGGAAGCTTGGGGGCCAATAGTTGCTTGAGGTTTTCAACAGTTAAAGATTTGTAGCTTCTCTGGGAATCTAGTTCTCTCAGAATCCACGAATGCTTCCGATCCTTTTGCTTTCAGTCAGCTCCGTGTGCCAAAGGTTTTTCCAAGACTTATATCTTCAGCTAATTTATGTTGCTTTCTCACTTCCACATCTTCCTCTTGCAATTCAGTCAGCCTTGATGTGAGGGCTTCTGGCTTCCCTGGTGCTCTTGGAATATACTCCTCCCCAGGAACCTCTGCTCAGGCTGTGCCCTCTGCCTGAAGCACTCTTTACCCAGAAAGAATCAAACCTATCATCTTCCTTGTACCCCAACCCCAGTATTTCTGTAAAATGAAAGCTAGGAAAATCCCCATGGAAATGAGAAACCCAAGTCGTCCCATTAAAGAAAATGTTCATGGCTCTGTTTCTCAGAAGCAGATGCTAACACTAAAATAAAGATTTCAGATGCACACAGTTTGATCCCAGTTGTTTAACAGAAGCCCCTCCCCCACACGCAGCAGAAATAGGAAAAGAGAAATAGTATATACAACAAAGGGTTACTTGTGGATTCTAGACAGTGAGATGTTATGGGTGATTGCTTTCCTTCTTAAAGATTCTACACTAATAAGTATTATTTCAAAATCAAAATACTCTGTATGCAGTCAGGTGAAAGATCATATCCAAAATGCCATTACTCGCATTGACAACGTTGTCTATGGGCCTCTTGTCTTGACCTTCTAACCACCTTTGTAAGAAAGCATCTCTCAACTCCAAGTGGATTAATTCTCAAATTAAAAACAATACAACCACAAAGCATCTCTGTACATTCATTATGTATGAGCAACATTTAATATTAATACAATTGCCTTTAAATGCCTTGACTTTATTGACCACAGGAGAAATTGTTGGCGGGACATGGATGGGGGGTGGGAATGTGGACGGATCATTCTGGTATCGTTCTTGAAGAGGAAAAGTAGGCGACCATGTGCAATGCTGTTCCTTTGATGGACTTTTGTGCTAGTCTCCTGATGCCCACACTCAGAACATCGCATTCCCAGGGGCACTGTGACCATGCGGACAGAGGTCTGATATCAGTCACAGAAAGGATAAAGGACAAGGCAGTGCCTGCCACAGGAATGAGGAGAACGGACTCTGGCTTTTACCTGTGCAATGATTTCTCAACCTCTGGTTCGTGGCTGGCGCACAGAGTCCAATATTAAAAATACTTCGTACATAAATTTATATTTGCGCTGTTATTCAGAGGAGCCCCACATGACATGCCAACCAGTAATGCCAAATCCACCATAAAGAAGGTATGAAAAGCTGTTGCCATGTGTCATACTTGGGCAGTTTTTTAAACCTCTGTATCTCTGAAGCTTCAGACTTCTTATTTAAAGTACCAGGAGAGCCTGTTCCCCAGTACATTATCCTTGAAGCAGGCGTTGCCGAGGCACTGGGCATAGATTAAACCAGAAGCACATGAGTGAGGAGGATGACTACTATACTGTGTAGGAAAAGATACTGTCAGTGGAATAAAGCATTGTCAGAGGATAATGGTTTCCAGCTGCCACATAAATGTCAACGCAAAGCCAAAGCAGGTATTTTCAAAGCAAAAGGCAGGGGAGTCGTGTGATCCCCAGTTTGCACATAATAAGA